ACTGTTTGATTGATTTTGAAGGGTATACATTAGGAAATGACAGTTTCAAAATATGTGTTTTCTTTTGTTGATATCAAAATAAATTATAGATAGAGAAAGAAGGTGAGAGAGAGTTTGTCAATGGATCACAATGTTTTATTGAGTTTGTCATTGTTAACTTAGTTTTAGTTGCCAAATCCTTGGACACATTATTTGGAGTTTGGATTTACAGAAAAACAAGAAGCATGAAGGGAGAAGTGGAGATGAAAATGGAAACATGGTGGATACATCTATTTTGGATTGGAAGAATTAGTTTCTGCTTGCTTAGATGGAAATTGTCATTACTCAGTTTCATTTTGCATGTTCTGATTTGAATTTCTTAAGCAAAATAAGTTTTGAATTTTGGATTTGATTGTTTTAGCCATGAGCACCTTGTTACAAACTGTCATAGGCTGCTTCTTTTTCTTCTTCTTTTTCTTTTTTTTTTCTTTTTTCTTTTTTTTTTTTAAAAAAAAAACCGCATGCTCTATTGGTTTTGGTTAACACTCGCTTTTTCTCTCATTCTTTCACACATAAAGCCTAATGGGTTTTTTGTCACTTTTTTTTGTTTTTTTTTTTAAACCAGCATTCTGTTTTTGGTTTGGTTAGCCCTCTCTTTTTCTAATTATTTCACACATGAAGTCTATTGGGTTTTTGTCACTACATGCACAATTGAATGCTGATTTTTAATCAATACATATGCTGATTTTTCATGGGTAAATTGTATTGATATTTGATAGCGTGAAGAGTGGTGGTTTTTCTGGGACATATTATTGCTGAGACTAATAAGAAGACTTGGGAGTAGTTGCATTTTACATTGAGGTTGGTCTAAAAATTTTGTTTTGTCAGAATTATATTTCTTGGGCTATGTTTTATTGGATTGAATTGTTCTTTTATGTAACAGTTACCATAAAGTTACACTCTATCTATAAGTCATTGGTTTAAGTTTGGATTAGAATATATTTGGGAATGGCTTTAGTCACAAGTAAATTATCTATTGGATGGCTCTAGAAGCCTTTTACTTTGGCCATTTTTTGAAACAATTTCGATTTCTTTGTTAATATTTTCCATTTAAAGTATATATGGGAGTGCCTTTCTCCCTTTAATAATTAGTTTTCCTAAATTTCAGTTTGTTTCTTTCCGCCATTTTCATGTTGTGTTGTGTCTTTTTGTTCTAGGTCATCAATTTATGGGTTTTCGATATAATCAAAGGTATAAACTCTAAGCGATTTTTTTTGTTTTTTTTATTATATCTGTTTCATTACTCAAAATTTTAGAAAATTTATTTTTTTGGGATCTATTACGTATTGGGTCTTTTGTTAGATCTTTTGGTATTTTGTACTTTTTTTTCCCCTCCACCCCTCTCCTCCTCTTCTCTCCTTAATCTTTCTTTCTTTTGAATTTATTTGGGTTTTTGGTTTATATCCATTTTATTTACAGAGAAACTATAAATTGCAAACTTTTTTTTCCCTTCCTCGTCTCTATCACATTTGTTTTAATCCCCATTGGAATAAAAGCTAACAAAATCATAGTGTATTGCTTTTGTTGTCACATTGTTCTTCCTACATGTGAGCTCATTTTTTTCAAAATATGATTCAATTGGTAAGAGAAAATATGTGTTCTTATTTTTTATCAAGTGCTTTAGAGAAGATAGTAAAAGTAGATGAGGAAAAAATGTGAAGAACATGGGAGCAGGTACCACAAGAATTAGCATATTTTTTAGCAGATAGAAAGTTCATTGCTTACTATGTGACGTGATTAGGAAATAGCCAAACATTAGTTATTTCTTATTTTAAAATGACTTTAATCCATCTGACTTATTCTTTTTGAATCCTTTTAATTTGGCTATTTTTTAGTGATTTTTTTTTTTTTATAGAGAGTAAATTTCACCATTTAAGTGGTCTTTATATGGGAGTGTTTTGTGGTTAAAAAAATTATAGCAGTGCTTTTTTTTTCTCTATTTTTCTCACTATATTTCGAGTTTATAATTTGCAAAGAACTGTTAAAATGTGATTGGCAGTAGTAGCACTAGAAGGTGTACATTGTTTGGTGAGATTGTAGAGCACTAACTAATGTGCATTTTAATTTTAATTTTTTTGAATTGCAGAGTATTGGTTGGTGTCCATTTTAATTTTAATATTTTTATGTCGCAGAGTATTGGTTGGTGTGCATTGTTTGGTGTTTAGTTTTAATTTTTGTGGGATTGCAAAACACTTGCTAGTGTGCTTTATCTGGTGTTTAGTAATTTTTTTTTTGGGATTATAAAGCGTTAACATGTGTACAATAGCTTTGGTTTGTGTGCTTTGTTTAGCAGGCGATTTACACTTCAGTGTTGATGTGAAGCTTACACTTTGGTTTTTGTTAATAGAAACCAAATGTCTATAATAAAATTAAAATATATTCTTAAGTTTTATTGGGCGTGCCTTCAGGCACAGGCTATCAATAAAGTTTTATATTCTTAAGTTTTATTGGGCGTGTTTATAATAAAGTTTTATTTTTTCACTTTTCTCTATCCTCACTTAATAACTAGCATGTTATCAATCACCTACAAAGCATACAACTAAACTTATACCTTTTTCTTTTCTTTTTTTTTAGTAGGCAGGTCAATTAATTGGTTTGAGGCAAATGTGGTGTTGGGTATAAGGTGAGGAAAAGCCGTGAATTTCATGTAATGATTTTTTTGAAATGGTTTAGATTTTAGAAACCTATCTTCATGTAATGATTTTTTAAAATGTGTTAGATTTAAATGTGTTTCTAAATGGTTTTGATTTCAAAAATATGAAAATGATAAATGAACCAACGCAATTATTATAATGGGTTTCTAAATGAGTTTCTAAAATCAATTTTCATGTACTGATTTTCGGAAACCTATCTTTATTTTGTTTAATTTAGTTCTCCTATGTAACTATTCTATTTATATCATTTGGAGTATTAATTTCTCATTCTCTTTCTAATTGTTCTGTTTCATTCAGTTTCATTCTCTCTTTCATTTTTCAGTTGTGGTAAGTATCTTTTATAAGTATTTGGTTGTGATCTTTGTTTAAAAAAATAGTACAGTTAATTTTATTTAATGAACCTTAGGTTTAATTTTAGTTAGATTTGTCCATTAACATTGATTTCAAGTTTGATTCTTTTTTTGTTGCCTACTAATTGTTATACATAATGCTTCAACTGGAAAATGAGATATGCATTATCACAGGGATAGAAACTCAAAGGAGCATGATCATCCAAAAAAGAATCTTCACACAAGGTAAGCTTTAATTGTTTTAAAATTTAATTTTGTTTAGTTTTATAGCTTTCAAAAATTCTTCTTCCTTATAACAAGACTCTTAGTCTTAATAAAATTTGAGTTTAATTATTTGCTCTCTTTACAAAATTTGAGTTTAATTCTATTTGGAGGTTTGTATGATTTATTTGTTTTTCTATTCATTTGTTCACTTTAATAATGCATACATATGTCCATTCTCATTTCACCATTGAATGACATAATTCAGTTGACCATAATAGTTATGTTTAATTCTTCTTAATTCATAGCTATTGATTTTTGTATTTCTCATATGTATTTTGATGCGATTTTTCATGTTACAGTTCTTTTGATGCAATTATTCTTCATTACAATTTCTTTCGATTTCTCTTATGTACTTTGATGTAATTTTTCATAGCTATTGATTTTTTAAAGCGGATTTAAACGAGTGATTTTATTGCAGGTGACTGATCCATATTAGAAACGTTGGGTTACGTTGCTTCTACATGTGTGTCGTTGTTTGGCTCTCTCATTCTAAACAAAATGATTTTTTTTTTTATTATTTTTTTTTTTTTTTGGGTTAGCTAGGATGATTGTTTTGTACCAAGTTTTGTACCAAAATGTTTATTGACCTTTATTTGAAGGCACTGAAATTTGATAAATCAAAAACGTTACCAGTTATGATACTAATTCAATAATGTTTTCTTATTGAAGGTTATCCCATTCTAACTTGCTATAGTGTATATATGTGTTATTTTGACGTGGATAAAAATCTAAAATTTGCTATTTGGACTTTAAGTTTAGCAAATATTTCGAGATTCTTTGCTTATGTTACATTGAAATATATAATTCATTTTTTGGACTTTAATTTTAAAATTTGCTATTTGAAATTTATAAATGCTTTCGCTAATTCAATGTGTAGAAACAATTTCAATTTCTTATAGGTGAAGTTTTAAATCGGAGTAATATTCAGTGCGTTTGGTTTGAGTTTTCTGAATTAAGTTTTTTGAAAATTAACTTTTTTGATTTTTGTGTTTTTTTATTTTTAGTGAATATTTTTTAAATTTTAATTTTTTTTTTTACTTTTTTAGATACACCTTACTTAAATATATCTAAAAAGTAAAAAATTTATGAAAAAATATTTTAAAAAATTAATAAATACATAAAAATAAAAAAATATACTAAATTCTTGTATTTTTTGTATTTTTAGTATTTTGTGAATTTTTAAAAGATTTTTTTATAATTTTTTTATTTTTTAGTTGTAGGTGTATTTAAAAAGTAAAAAAATTTCTTAAAATATTTAAAAAATTCAATAAAAATAAAAAAATATGAAAAATAAGAAACTAAGGGTTCATTTGGTTTGCATTTCGGAAAAAATTTTGGAAAATTTTCTATACAAATAAGTTTTTAAAAGTAATCAAATCAAACAAATTTTCTCAAAAAAATTTCTCAAAACTTGTAAACCAAACAAGTTTTCCAAACAAATCTCTCTCTCACACACATCAAATCAATCACTTTTTCCAAAACTCTCTCTCAAAATAATTTTCCAAAACATCTTTTGAAAAAAACCAAACCAAACAACTTTTCGTACATTTTATCTCTAAAACACATCTCTCAAACACAAACCAAATGTCACGACCCGCTCCCCGTACCCAAGGGTTAGGCATCGTGATGGCCAGTAACCGAGGTTACCTCCGGCCAAATCTTTAAACAATTTAATAAACGCAAGCGGAAGAAATATTTAAATAAGGGTACTAAAATAATAATTGGAGCTTCTATTTTTATTACAAAAGGTATTGACCAAAAAGGCCGATTTTTACATTAAAAAAAATACATCAATAAAAGTGCTTTGTGCCTACTCCACACGCTGGTCCCGACATGCCACCTGAAAGTGGTAAAAAAACTATAAGCTCATGGCAGAGTGAGAAATATTATACTAAGAGTATAAGGCATAAAATTCACCATGGATAATTAGTTAGGCCAAAAGAGCTTGATACATATAATACGAAAATCATTTGATATATACTTCAGATCATATAATATGAAAATCACTATACAACCATAACCACGGTACATCACTAAGTGCCAAGCACCACACTGGTCAATGGATCCACGACAAACACTGGACCACAAAGTGGTCAATCACTAAGCCCATGGTTATTTCAGTCCCCCAAGGCATAGGACTCACTAAGCCAATGGTTATTTCAGTCCCCCAAGGCATGGGACTCACTAAGCTAATGGTTATTTCAGTCCCCCAAGGCATGGGACTCACTAACCCAATGGTTATTTAAGTCCCCCAAGGCATGGGACTCCCGTGGTGGTACTTACAAAACACATTTTCATATAAGGTCACAACCAAATATTCTTTAAAAGTAAAACAAACACGTCCATGGGTTTCCTTTTAAGCAAATAGGGTTCAGAAATAAAACCACGTAACTGAAACCTTTATAAAACATAATTTTTATAAATATACTAATAAAACATAACTTTTATAAAATAGATTTTGGTAAGTCAAAATATAAGTAAAATACATTTTGGTAACTCAAGGTATAATATAACTTATCTTAACTTTAATACCTTACTCTTTCTTTTCACCATCAAAGACCCTTTTAGCTTCCACAATTCTTTCCTTCCTTTTCTCTCTTTTCTTTCCTTTCTTTCTTTCTTTTCCTTTTCTTTTTCTTTTCTTCCTGGGCGCTTCGCCCCTTATATACAGAGGCAGCCGTGGGCACCAAGCCACGGCCTGCCACGCGTCTCTCTCCAGATTCGCCATTAATATATATAGATTCAATCTCATCCTAAATAAATATTTAAGATAATTACCATTTGACCCAATATTTTAATATAATTATATAAATAATTTGATTTCTAATTAAATTACATTTTATTATATACCAAAATAAAATTAATTATTTATTTTACTTCCACACCCATTATTATTATTATTTATATTATCTATATTATTATTATTTATATTTTGACCCTTAAACTTTTAATAATTATATTATTTTATAAAATTACACATAATAATATACAATAAATTATATATTTTCCGAACTGAGATTAAATAATATTAGTATAAATTCTACATAACAATTAAAAATCTGGGTTGTTACAATCTTCCCTCATTTTAAAATTTCGTCCTCGAAATTTGTCACAGGTGTAAGTTATCCGCTGCGCACTCTGATATATATGTATATATATTAGATGATTAATCTGATAGAAAATAGTACCTCAAAAAAAACTTTACCAAAAACCACTCACTGTTTACTTGTCAAAAATTAATTTTGGCCAAAATGAGAAATAATTGGCGACTTAAAAACTTTTCACTCGTTTTGTTTATGATAAAAATAGATAAAAATGAGAACACAATGACAGAATGATATGCAAGAATTGAAAATTTTGAGATGAACTTTTCATTGATGGGCAATAATTTTAAAACTAGTATCTTTAAAATTTGAATCCACTTTAAAAAAAAACATCAAAATAAATTTTTTTTTTTTTGAATACTGAACTGAAAATTATATATATTTAATTATATTATAATTTTGGTGGTGCTTGAGCCCGACATCCTTCTTTTCTTGTCATTCTTTTACTATAACAAATATAAATTATGTCTAATATCCTTCACAAATTAGGCACACTAAAAAAAAAATTTATTATATACAAAAATTTATTATATATGTAATCATATAAAATTATAATATAATTAAATCGACGAACAAAATATAATAATTCGGTATTAATTACCCGTTATTCCACTTATTAAATGTGCAAGTGTCCTATGCTCCAATGATAATTTTTTTTTTTTTATAAACCATTGCTCTGATACCATTTGTCACGACCCGCTCCCCGTACCCAAGGGTTAGGCATCGTGATGGCCAGTAACCGAGGTTACCTCCGGCCAAATCTTTAAACAATTTAATAAACGCAAGCGGAAGAAATATTTAAATAAGGGTACTAAAATAATCATTGGAGCTTCTATTTTTATTACAAAAGGTATTGACCAAAAAGGCCGATTTTTACATAAAAAAAATATACATCAATAAAAGGTGCTTTGTGCCTACTCCACACGTTGGTCCCGACATGCCACCTGAAAGTGGTAAAAAACTATAAGCTCATGGCAGAGTGAGAAATATTATACTAAGAGTATAAGGCATAAAATTCACCATGGATAATTAGTTAGGCCAAAAAGAGCTTGATACATATAATACGAAAATCATTTGATATATACTTCAGATCATATAATATGAAAATCACTATACAACCATAACCACGGTACATCACTAAGTGCCAAGCACTACACTGGTCAATGGATCCACGACAAACACTGGACCACAAAGTGGTCAATCACTAAGCCCATGGTTATTTAAGTCCCCCAAGGCATGGACTCACTAAGCCAATGGTTATTTAAGTCCCCCAAGGCATGGGACTCACTAAGCAGCGTACTGTAAAAAATACTGGATGGGTGAAATCCCCGCTCGACGCCCCGCTCGAGCCTGAGACATGACTCCGCTCGAGCGCCCAATCCTCCGCTCGAGCGAACTGTAAAATAGTGCAAGATGCTGGAAGCTCGATTTTCCCGCTCGAGCGGCACTTCCCCCGCTCGAGCGGCGACTGAAATCTGAAATCCCAGATTCGAGCTCCAGGTTCAAAACCAAGCTCACAAGCATCAAAACCAATCCTCTTGGGCCATTTTCTGGAAAACATTTATAAACACATAGAATATCATGTTCAAAGCTCGATTTTAAGAAATCAAAGCCCAAGGGTGTTTCAATTAAAACTATTCAAACCATTTCAAGAATATGAAGAACATGCAAAAATGCATGGATTCAAACCAATTCAAAGCTTCAATTTGATGCTCTAAGGAGCCAAATCTTTCAAAACATGATGAGTTCTTGGTCTCTACTCCAGACATGAACAATGCATGTAACATTTTGCCATGAAACAACTCAAACACTACATTACTAACAGCATGCATGAAATGGGTTCCAAATCAACATCAATGAACCAATTCTAGACTTGAATCACTAGAGGCTCAAGAATCTTACATGAATGAGCTTAAACACAACAAAGAGGGGTTGAATTCTCTTACCTAGAGCCTCAATTACAAGTGTAGGACCACAAAGCAACAATCAACCTTCAATTCTCTTCAAATTCTAAGCAATATTGAAATGAACTCAAGACTCTCACTTCTCTCTCTCTAAATTCGGCTAGAACAAGAAGAAATGGCTGAGCAAATGTGTTTTTGATTCAAGTATAAGGCTCAAGTGTGTGTATTTGAGATAGTGGCCACTCAAAGGGCATAACGGTAAATAAGTCCAACTCTTTAATTAGCTATTTAATCTAATTTAATCATACCTAATCACTTTTCAGATAATTGTACAATAAAATCACATAAATTACGAGGGTCATGGAACATCAATCGGTTTCTAATTCGGCCGCCATATTGGCCTTCAATTAGCATTTAAACATATAAGCATAAACAGATAATCATACAGTCAAACAGATAGAATGCAATTTAACTAACATATACTCGATCAAATTCGGTTTCCAATTTCAGTCAGTCAGTTCAGTACTTTTATTCAGTTCAATTATCAGTCAGAGTTATCAGTCCTTACCCGTTTCGTTTAACAGTAGTCGGTGATTATCGGTAATCAATCAGTCATTAATCAGTTTATCGGTAATCAATCAGTCATTAATCAGTAAACAGTATGGGGTTGTTACAATGGGACTCATAAAGCCAATGGTTATTTAAGTCCCCCAAGGATGGGACTCCCGTGGTTGGTACTTACAAAAACACATTTATATAAGGTCACAACCAAATATTCATTAAAAGTAAAACAAACACATCCATGGGTTTCCTTTTAAGCAAAATAGGGTTCAGAAATAAAACCACGTAACTGAAACCTTTATAAAACAAACTTCTATAAATATACTATAAAACATAACTTTATAAAATAGATTTTGGTAAGTCAAAATATAAGTAAAATACATTTGGTAACTCAAGGTAATATAACTCACCTTAACTTTAATACCTTACTCTTTCTTTTATATTAAAAAGATAACTTTGTATAAAATAATTTTTGATAAGTCAAAAACATAAGTAAAATATATTGGTGACTCAAGGCATAATATAACTCACCTTAACTTTTAATACCTTACTCTTTCTTTTCACACATCAAAGACCTCCTTTTAGCTTCCACATTCTTTCCTTCATTTTCTCTCTTTTCTTTCCTTTCTTTCTTTCTTTTCCTTTTCTTTTCTTTTCTTCCTGGGCGCTTCGCCCCTTGTATACAGAGGCAGCCAAGCCACGGCCTGCCACGCGTCTCTCTCCAGATTCGCCATTAATATATATATATTCAATCTTATTCTAAATAAATTATATTAAGATAATTACCATTTGATCCAATATTTAATATAATTATATAAATATTTTATTTCTAATTAAAATTATACTTTATTATATTCCAACATAAAATTAAATTATTTATTTACTTCCACACCCATTTTATTTATTGTATATT